TTTACGGTTTTAAAACTCGAATGTAGTCATTATATACTTGGTTACATATTGGACATCGATTAGTTTCTAAGCGTTCGATGCAATCGATGCAACAAGCGAGATGATTACAAGGTGTGAAAAGGTGCGTTCTTTCGTTCTCATAACACACTGTGCAATTGTTTAACTCAGAATTTTTTTTCAATGTATCTATATTCCAGTCTACAGGATGAAATGAATGTTCTTTTGTAGATGTGCTTGCATTTGTGTTTGTATCAAGATATCCATAATCATCATCGGGATCTTCATATATCGATGGATCTGGAAATGGTAGAAAAGATAAAGGAGGGTAAGCATATTGTCTATACATTTGTATGAGAGAATAACTTGAATTTTATATTTTGAAGCAATTTGAATCGCTAATAATGTTAATTACCTTTTGATATCCTTGTATATTATTTACCTTGTGTATTTAAGGATTCAGTTTCTGAATCAGAAGTAATATTTATTAATTGAGATTCATGTTGCGTCGTTTGTGAGATTCCGGTTTCCAAATCAGGTGTGACAGTCATTAATTGAGATTCGTGTTTCGTCGTTTGTGAGATTGCGGTTTCCAAATCAGATGTGGCAGTTATTAATTGAGATTCATGTTGCGTTGTTTGTGTATTTCCCATTATTTCAGATGTACGTGTTTCCTGTGTATTGGAAGAATTTTCTCCATCTTGTATCGTTTCTATTATTGCAGGCGTAACTGCTATTCTCTGTACATTGGAAGCATTTTCTATATTTTCTGGAAATGAAAGATTATTTTTACATATTTTTATTTAACATTGACTAAATTTTAAAGACGTGCGCATTATGTGCAAACATTACAAAATTCTTGTCACCTGTATCTCTTCTGGATACATGTCTTTCTTCTGTTCGACTAGATATGTTAACGTGTCGAGATCTTCTGTGTCTAATGTTAGTTTGCCTTTCTGAAATAAAAGATATAAATTAATTTATAACATAAATAACATTAAATAATTTAGAGCTAAACTTTTTAAAATTAATAGTTCTAAATCTCAAAATTTGTATTATAAAATTGAGTAATAAAAATGATATTAACCATACACTATTAATATATTATGATAATAAATTTTAATAGAACAAGTTAAAATAAAATGATAATAAGGCTCCATATATAAAAACAATAAGCATATAATAAGAGAAAAGAGCTAGTAATTAAAACAATTTTAATTAAAAAATTCTTAATATGAAAATTACAAAATATTACAAAACATACGTTTTGACTCCGATCGGGTCATTTCCAATGTTATATAAATTATACATTATAAATTCAATATTAGATAAATTTAAAAATATATAATAATTATTTGAATTTAATTAACTTTTAAATCTTGATTAAGTTGATTATTCTTCATTGTGTGCAAGTAATACGCGTCAAAAGTATCAATATAGTAAGATTAAAATCTGGTAGCAAAGAAAAATAAAAATAAAGTAAGTCTTTAAATTGTGTCAAATAAATGTAACTTAACAAGTTAAAGCCTTCAAGTTTAATTAAAAAGACTAATACTATATTCACCTATTTGGAATGTCTCATTCAAATTGTCTGTGAACAACTCCATATCTGCAGGTTGTAAAATA